TACTTTGGACATATCAGGAGAGACCAGTCCCTGGAGAAGGACATCATGCTAGGTAAAGTGGAGGGTCAGCAAAAAAAGGAAGACGCCCCCCAACGAGATGGATTGGCACGGCGGCAGCTGCCATGCACTCAAGTATATCAACAATTGTGAGACTGATACAGGACCAGGCAGTGTTTGTACTGTTTCACCTAAAGTTGCTATGACTCGATACCAACTTGACGGCATCTTGCCATAACAAAGAAGGGAGATGGGAGGGAAAAAAAAAAATGGAAGCAACAGACAACAGAGACATTAATAAAAGCGTAAGTCTGTTAACTGAAAGGTCAGTGGTTCAAACCCACCAACCGTTCCATGGGAGAAAGATGTGGCAGCAGTCCACTTCTGGAAAGATTGATAGCTTGGCAAACCTCATGGGGTAGTTCTACTCTGTCCTGTTAGGTTTGTATGAGCTGGAATCACCTCAACAGCAGTGGGTTTGGTTTTGGTTAAATAGTAACTACAGGAGTCCGTAGGTGCCACAGACGGTTAAGTGCTCAGCTGCTAAATGAAAGGCTGGTGGTTTGAACCAACCTGGAGTTCCTTTGGAAGAAAGGCCTGTTTCTGAAAAGTCACAACTATGAAAACCCTGTGAAAGTACCATATTTTGAAACACATGGGGTCACTATGATCTGGAATCTACTTAATGGCAAGTGGTTAATAGGAACCATGGGAGGGTTGTGAAGTGCCATTGAGACGGGACAGTAGGTGAAACAAAATGAAGGTTTATTTTAGGGTAATATAGAAGACAAAACACTAAAGACAGATTCCCCAGAATTTCTGCCCCAGCAGAAATGACAGGGCCACAGAAGGAAGACAGCTGGGGCTGATGAATCACACAGTGTACTCCTTTATCTTTTCAGTGTTCTGTGCAGATGAAATCAAGACGATTAGAACATCCAGGGTAATCTTGATGTGGGAAAGAAACGCCCAAAAAACATTTCCTGAAGAGTATATATTTTGTGTACTTTCTTAAGCTTACACAAATTTAAGTATCATTTGAATTGTTGTTAAGTGCTGTTGAGTAGAGTGACTTGGTCTTCATGGTCTGCTGCTATGTAGAAACATGGATAGGAGGGTATGGCAAGGAGCGGTCAAGTCAGGCATGCTTCCATAACTTGATTCCTCAGAGCATGAAGTTAAACAGACAACTTTAATCTTGCTTTATAGAACTCTTCTCTTTCTGGTCCTAGGGTCTGTTAGGATGGTATATGGTGAAAAGCGGATTGGAAGAAAAACCAGACTCCCATGACATCCCTCGAGTCAGTCAGTACCGCCTCGCTGCACACCTGGGATCAGCCCTGGTTCTGTATTGCGCCAGCCTGTGGACCTCGCTGTCACTGCTGCTCCCACAGCACAAGGTAAAAGTTAGTCTGTGTTGTTGCCATAGCTGCAGAGATGCTTATGGCTTCAAGGGAATGAAGATTCAATTCTGGTGGTAATAGGAGGGTCTGAGTCAAAACCCAGGCATTCCTTAAGTAATATCTGTCCATTTATGGAAACTACATATACCTAATGCTTACAGACTGTGGATAAGTTTGGGACAGCAAAGAAAAATGCAATTATTCTGTTGAGCTGGGGCAACTCATTCTAAGGAGAATTTGTACAGGACCTGAATATTTTGTCAGCATTGTTTGCTGGGGGAGGTGAAAGCACAGATTTTAGGGAAAATGTAGGAAGGAATCCCAACAACAGGAAATACCACAAGCACTTTAATTCTATCTCCCAAAAGGGAAGATGGACAGGGAGGCAGGGAAGTATGTAAGAGCCATGTGGTATTGTTTATTCTTTAGCTGTATGTAGATGAGCCGTGGCATGGTGCTGTAGGATAAGCACTGGACTAGTAACTGCAAGGTCAACAGTTCAAATTCACCATCTGCTCTCAGAAACCTACATAGGGTCACTGGGAGTCAGAACTGACTCGATGGTACAAAACATCAAGTATATTTTTAAGTGTATGTTGTTTTTAGGTGCCATCGAGTCAGTACCGATTCATAGTGATCTTATGCACAGCAGAACGAAACACTGCCCGATTCTGGGCCAACCTCGTTATCGTTGCCATGTTTAAGCCCATTGAAGCTGCCACTTTGCCTGTCCATCTCACTGGGGTCTTCCTCTTTTTCTCTGACCCTCCACCCTACCAAACATGATATCCTTCTCAAGCAACTGGTCCCTCCTGACAGTGTGTCCGAAGTATGAGAGATGAAGTTTGGCCATCTTGGCCTCCAAGGAGCACTCTGGCTGCAATTCTTACAATACAGATCTGTTTGTTCTTTTGGCAGCCCCTGGCACTCTCAATATTCTCCTCCAACACCGTAACTCAAAAGCATCAATTCTTCTATGGTCTTCCTTATTCCTTAAGTGTATAGGACCAGCATATTGTTGTTTTGTGCTGTCGAGTTTTCTGACTCATAGCGACCCTGTATAGGACTTCCAAGGAGCAGCTGTTGAGTTTGAACCACTGACCTTGAGGTTCAAACCAGCCTCGAGGTCTAGTGCTTATCCTGCAGCTCCACACCAGGACTCCGAAGAAGTATATAGAAGTGCACAAATGCGTATCTACTCTCCAGGACATTTTTCTGGGCATCTCTTGCCCCACTTTACGATATTCCTGTATGTTCAGATCATAGTAAACCTCAACAATCTTGTCTGTATTTTTTCTGTGTGCTGACTGACTAATGGAGATGTTTGCTGCCTCTGTAGTTCCTGCAGTTTAGCTTATCTGAGCGGTTTTCTTTCTTAGTTACCTGAAACGCGGCAGCTCCTACGATTGAGACAGTTTGCTCATGGAACGGCAGGCTTAGTGTTCCTGACAGCACTCTCAGGTAGGACTCTTCTCATCAATCAGGGCCTGGTTTCCACTCACCCAAGTCTCTTGTTGATGCTTTGCCCATTCCTTCTGCCTTTGATTTCATACCTGCCTCTCATACCTGCCATCTTCATCCTTTGTTCTCCCTTCTGTCCTCCTTTCTACAAATCCGATCTCCCAGTGAACAAAAATACTGAGCATTTACCTGGATCCAAACTATATTGGTTCAAATCCTGGCTTCACCACCTAGGCACTATATGACCCGTGTAACTTCTCTAGGCCTTTACATCCTCATCTGTAAAGTGGAGATGATGATAATAGTATGAGGGGTTTCAAAGAGTTTGTGGAAAATTCCATTATCTTTTAATTCCCTTTCCCACAAACTTTTTGAAGATCCTGGTGTATGTGAAGTGCTTAGAACAGTACCTGGCGGTTTGTAGCAAATACTTAAGTGTTGACTGTTGTTATCATCACGTAAACATTATTGCCGTTACATTATACCAAGATGTGTCCTACAGAAGGCCTGCCATCAAAGGTGCTTAAGGTGAGGAGTTCAGCAGGGTGGAAAGACCAGCATAAATCTTTCTCATTCTTTAAACCACACCTCAACCTCACTTTTGCCAGAACTGTGTGATCATCTAACATAGTAGCCACTAGCCTCATATGCTTTTGGAGTCCTGGTGTGGCACTGTAGGATCAGCACTGGACCACAAGGTTGGTGGTTGAAATCCACCAGCCACTCCTCGGAAACCCTGAGTTTGGAACCAACTCGACTATGAGTTGGAACCAACTCGACAGCACTTAACAGTACCACCACCGTAGATCTGTTATTTTCTGACTACACCTTTTGTCTAACCATGGGATAATAGACTTTTCTATGTCAGAATTAGTGTTTGATCTCTTTTTGCTTTTATTTTAACAAACACGATTTATCTTGGATCTCAGGGGCTTTTGTGGCAGGACTGGATGCTGGGCTTGTTTACAACTCCTTTCCCAAGATGGGGGAGTCCTGGATCCCAGAGGATCTCTTCACCTTCTCACCCATCCTGAGGAATGTGTTTGAGAATCCCACCATGGTGCAGTTTGATCACCGTGTTCTGGTAAGTCTAGCTGGGAGACTGGTGAGAAGCAGTAGTGCTGTTTCAGGAATGCAGGTGATGGGGGCCAAGGCTGCATGTGGCTGGGGATGTGGGGAGGGAGTGTTCTCAGGCGTTGGTGCCAGTGAAGCATCGCTGGCAACAAACAGGGAGAGGGGCGAGCAGTTAACTGTAGTCCCTTTTGTTTTTGGAAGAATTCCCGGTAACAGCTGTCCGACCTGATGCTTTTGTCCCAATCACCCACATCCCTCCAAACACTGCCAACTTCATCAGTTCTCATATGCCTTTACCACTTTGGCAAGTGGTAGCCTCCTCCAATCCTATACATACACCGGAGAGTTGTTTCAGCAGAAATTAGGAACAAAGCATGCAAAGATGTTAGCCAAACACATAGTTGTCAGAGCTGTACCAGATCCCAGCAGCCAGGACCATCATACAGGGGACTTCAGAAAATTCAAGAAAAAAATGGAATTAAAGGGATTTTTTTCACAGACTTTTTGATGTCTCCTCAAATGTAGTTTTCATTTCTTTTAAACTAACATTAAGTTGTTGTTGTTGTTGT